CTGCAGTTTTGGGGAGGCTTCTGGAATTTGTGGTTGATGACTGTGGGTGTGGATGCTGCACCTGCCCTGGGGCAGGCAGTTTGCATTACAATGTAAGGTGGGAAGAGAAGCTGGCTGCTGGAGCTGCTGCTCCCCCTCCCTGGGCTCTTGCTCTTTGCCACAGCCAGGAAAGGTTGCCCTCTGCCGTGGGCCGCTCTGCCTTGGAGCCAGCTGAGTGTGGACTGAAACCTCCACTAACTGTGAGCTGAACAAACCTTTCCTACCTTCATTTTGGGTGTCGGGTATTTGTCCCAGCAACGAGAGAAGAGTAACTAAGACAGTGCTATATGTTTAATACATAGGATATACAAAGGATTTACTAGGTAGGGCTGGAGAGCCACAGGGTCCAGTCAAATATAGAAGGCCTGGAGCTCACTGCTGCATCTGGCGCAGATCCATGTGGATGCTGAAGGGTCTACGGAGCAAGGCTGAAAAGTCTGTGCTGCGAGCCTGAAGAAACTGCAGAAGCCCTCCGAAGACCATAGTGAGGACCACAGTTCCTCCAAAGAAGCCGGCCAGGCACAGGTGCCCATGGTGTTGCTGCCTGGAAACTCAGCTGCAGACTGCCCCCCCCCACCGGCCGCTGGTCCAGCCTCCTCTGCAGAGCGGGGTGTAGATGATCCCGACCGAATGACCCTGGGAGCACCAGCCTACCACGCAGTAGTCTATACATGCGCCTTTGCTGTCCTATGCATTGTTTACTCCGGGGACCCAAGGAGGGAGAGGACAGCTCCCTGAAGGAGCTTGGTATCGATATCATTTGCAGAATTCCTCCCATATCATGGCTTCCACTGTTTCCCTACCTCACCGATAGCTGCTAGATGACTGTGATGCTGCTGAGGACATTTTCCAGGCATAGGTCTGTTTTGTGACAGAAATGATCGCCCAAGGAAGAGATGCCCTGCTCTCCTTGGGTTCTGCCATTCATGGGCTCATCCCTGGGACCCGATAACCTAGTGAAGATCCTACCTGACACTCACAAATTAAAGGAGGAGAGGTTTATTTTAGCTCCCAGGCCATGGAGGGTTCGGTTCCTGGCCGGCTGACTTCAGAACAGCATGGTGGGAGGGGCTGGGGGGGGGCCAGGAAACAGGGACTGCCACCAGACCCCACACCCAAAGACCAAGGCAGCTGTAAGGCCCCAGACGTCCCACCTTTGATCTCAGGAGGCTCAGGGGCACATCTAGGCATTGGGCAGCACAGTCTCGAGGCAGCAACAGCCCCTAGCGTTACTTGGGAGCTATTTTGCATTCCACAGGGGGGTCTCTTCAGGAGATGGATGGCTCACCATCCCCCGGTCTCCCCCACTTCTGGGTTGTGACAGGGCCTGCATATCCAGGCAGGACCAGGCAGCCCCAGTCCTATCCCACCTACTGGGCAGCTACCCTGAAGAAGGTATCCATCAAGGGACAAAGTTTCTCTGAACAAATGAGGCCCCCCCAGTGGTTCCCATGAGGCAATTAATGGTTTTGGTTTTTTTTTTGACAGTTTAGTGACAACAATATTTATTCTTCTCTATCATTCATATTTTTACTTGTGAGGTATCTGGTGCATTTTCTAGCTCTCTGAGGAGAAGGGAGTAAGAATTCCCACTTAGCAGGCTGTGCGCTTGGTACTGGGTTCTGTAGGACTCCAACCCAGTGGCTGAGAGTGAGCTGGCGAGAGTCAGCATCAAATCGACCCCGGACGAGCCCCCCACTGGCCCTGTGACTTAGTGCTGCAGCACGGAGCTGCTGGGAAGCTTCCGTGTGAAGCAGTTAGCTCAGGGCCCGGTCTAGAGGAGTGCCAAGGAAGTGTATTAGTAGCATGGGCCAGCCTCTGAATCTCAGAGAGGTCAGATAACCTAGTGAAGATCCTACACCTGGTAACTCCTAAGCGAATGCTTTTTTTTTTTTTTTTTTTTTTTTTTTTTTTTTTTGCTATGCTATAGCTATGCTTAGACACTTTCTTGTCTCTGGGACACAAAAGCTGACATCCACAATTTAAGGGAGGAGAGGTTTATTTTGGCCTGTGTTTTAGAAATTTCAGTCCTTGCATGGTTGTTACCATGGTGGAAGGGCCGGGCAGAGGGAAGCCACCCACCTCATGATGGCCAGGAAGCAAGGGGATGCAGAGAGGAGCCAGGGTGGAAGATGAGCCCCTCCAGATCACATCCAGTGACTGCCTCTTCCTACAAGACCCCCACCTGCTCACACCAAGTCAGCAATGTCTCTGCCACGGTCTGCCCCTCTTCCAGAAGCTCTGCCTATAAATCCACGAGGCCACTGGGGGGCATTCTCCATATAAACTACAACATTCTGCCCCTGAACCCCAAAGGATTCATATGCATCTCTTTAATGCATTTAGTCTGTCTGAGTCACCAAATCCTTATTGGTTTCAGAACTGCTAAAAAGTCAGAGTCCAAAGTTTCCACTGAGGCTTTAAGCCAACCCTTAGCTGTGAGCCCCTGTAAAAATCAAACAAAAATTAGACACTTCTGACATTCACTGGTACAGGAGAAATATTCCCATTACAAAAGGGGATACTAGGCAGATGGAAAGAAAGCAGAGGAAAGCAAGTCTGAAACCCAGCAGGGTAAGTATTGAATCCTATAATTCCATGCCCAGCAGCTGGGGCAAGAAGTCATGACAACATGTGACCTCTGAAGGGCTCGGGAGCCCCTCCCCCCACTGCTGCACTGTCAGTTTCAGAAGTGTTAGACCATGTTCAGCTCTCAAGGCCTCTCTCTCGGGTGGGTTTTCTCATGGCCCTTGGCTTTCCTCTGACATCTGATGCCCCTAGCTTCTCCAACTTCTTGGGGGTCTCTACTGCACTTTTTGGGCTTCATCTTCAAACACTGTCCTCTCAGGAGCACACTGCGTGGCCTTCCAGGGCTTCTTCTAAGATCTGGGAGGAAGCATTGTTGACCTTACAAATCTTGGAATCTGCGCCATGTGGACGATGCCACGATCTGCTGCTAGCTTAGGCAGTAGCTAGGCCTCCTTGGATCACGGCTGTAGAAGCCTCCGAGAGCCTGTATGGAAAGGGTCCAGGGAAGGAGTCGTTCCTAGCTGGCCTGCATGAGCTGGCTTCCCTAAAGCTCTTTTCTCAAAACAAATCTTTCATGTGTAGATACTTGAGCTCTTGCTGTTTCCTAGGATGTGCTCAAAGCAAGCTTCCAACTGTTCTGATGCAAAGTACTTGGCTTCTTTTTTACCGCTTATCTTTTTAGCAGCCAAACTCTCCTCTACTAAAACTTCTCTGGGTCTTCCTTTCTGGGGAAACTGGAAACTTTAAAAATCACTCAGCGGTGCCATTTCTCTTGATTCTGAATGCACAGCTGGCTAAATCCCCAGCAGTACTCATGCCACACCCTGAATATTGGGCTGCCTTGAGATTTTTATCTGTCAGATTAATTAGTCTGCCATCCTTAATCTTCGTCTCCTACAAAGTTTCAGGACATAAGTAAAATGTAGACAGATTTTCTGCCAGAGAAAAACTCATATGGTTTTGATCCCAACTGCCAATGGAGTGTTTTCTCTCAACTGAAATCTCCTGAGTCTGGTCTTCGCCAACTGCATTTCTGTTGGCATTTTGGTCTTCTGAACTCTGACCAGAATCTCCTATTAAGCACAGTGTACGGCATTCGAGGACTTCTCTTTTTTTCTGAGGTGGGAGGACTGGGTATTGAACTCAGGACCTTGCACTTGTGAAGGAGGCGCTTATTCCAACCGAGCTATCTCCCTGACCCCTGAGAGGAGGAGATTTGGGCACAGAGAGGTAAAGTGATTTTCTCAGGGCAGCACAGCAGGAGATCATCATGGCATCGGGTAAGCAAGGGAGAGGCCAAGTGCACAGGAAGGTGGAAGAGAGGAAGAGACAAAGAGAGCAGTGGGGAGGAAGAAGAGCCGCCATGCTGGTTGCTTTGCATTCTCACCATGCCAGCCATCGGTTGGCCTCCTCAGCCTCGGGAATGTGGGTTTGGAGGGGAGGAGCCAGGCAGCTCAGATTTGTCAGGAGGAGGGGTGGGGACAGAAAAAGATCAGCAAAGATTGAAAGGAAGATGTAGGAAGGTCCAGCCAGGCCTTCGGGGAGAAGCGCGTCCCAACAGGACGCGAGCAGGAGGATGGAAAGGCTGCCTTTCTCGCGGACCACCCGCAGCCCTTCTGTTCCGCACCTGGGTCAGATCCCCAAGGGCTGGGCCTTCAATCATGAATATTCATGAGCGGATGCAGCCCAGGGTCCACCGCCCTTCCCGGTTTTGAGACTTCATCTTGATGGTGAAGTGAACGAGCAACCGCAGAAGCCATCGCCTTGAGCCCAGAGGACCAGAGGACACTGCAGCGGCCTTCAGAGACTTCCTCTTTCTCCGTCTGCCCCTACCCGCGCCTCAGCACTTCAAGAGAGGGGGAGAGAGAGCGAGCTGTTTCTAAGAAAACGCAACCTGCCCTCCCAGGGGAGTTGTGCGCCCTGTGTCCTAGCGCCCGGAGCAATGTAGCAATCTCTAGCTCTCATTGCTGTCCCACAAGAAGACACCAGCTCTGGACCAGAAGCGGATCGCTAGCAGGGCGGCCGTCCTGAGCCCACTCCTGGCTGGACCGGCTCGGGTTCTCTTCCCCTCCTTGATCCTCTACTAGTTGCGAGTATTTATAGTGCATGAGTCACAGCGCCGATCGCTGATTGGACGGCGGCGAGCACCTCGAGCGGGTCTGTCAATGACAGCTATTCTCGGCCCATTCACGGATTTATTAGCTCGCCCGGGCGCTCAGAGAGACTCCTTTCAGCAAAGTTCATTCATAAAAATTTCAGCAGCGCGCAGCGCTCTGCGCTTCAGCCCAGAGCCGCGGGAGGAGTCGAGGACGAGGGGAGGGAGGAGGAGGAGCGGGGCGGGGCGGGGCGGGGACCCGGGCGGGACGGCAGCTCCGGCCGCGGGTCCGGGTCCTGCGCTCGGTGCACCTCCTTTCTTCTGCTGCAATGAGCGACGCTGGGGGTGCACCTAGGGCTAAAGGGCGGCGGGCCACCCCGCCACGGGGGACCCCGCAGCCTCAGGCCTGAAAGTTCCTGGTGGGCGCGGCTGAGCCTTCGCCCGGTGTACTGTTGGGCTGGGTCGGCGAACCCCGGGCGGGCTGTGCGTGGCGCCCCGGGCTGGGAAGGCCGAGGCCGCGGAGGGAGGACCTTGTTCCAGCCGGCGAGGCCATGCGAGGACGCGGCCAGGACAGCCTGGCAGGGCTAGTGCTGTGCGCAGGGCTCTCGGGCCACCCCGGGATGCTGCACCGCGCCAAGTACAGCCGCTTCCGCAACGAGCCAGCGCAGGCCGCCGAGGAGGGCCCGGCCGCAAGCAAGGGCGCCCCGCAGCCTCCGGGCCCCGCCCCGGAGCCCCCCGAGGACGCTGCCGCGCCCGCCCCGGACAGCCCCACCCCGCTGTGCACCCTGATCCCGCGCCTGGCCAGCGTGAAGCTGGCCAACCCAACCGCTCTGCTCAGCCTGAAAAACTTTTGCCTGGGAACCAAAGAGGTGCCCCGGCTGACGCTGCAGGAGAGCCAGGACGCAGCAGCGCCCAGCAGCCCGGCCTCGCCCGGGACCAGAACCGGCGGCGCCCAGGACCCCGCTCCCGCCTTGCAGCCCCCAGAGTCCTGCCCGCTGCCCGGACCCGCGGCGCCGACCCCTGGGCGCAGGCGGGAGCGGCCGTGCCCGCAGGAGCACCTGTTGGGAACCGGCCTGAGCTACCGCGCGCGGGTAAGTGCCTCCCGCTCCGGGCTTCCTCGCGGCTGCGTGCCTGGGGGCTGGAGGCTTGCAGGAGGCGCTGCGACCGGCCTCGCAAACCCCCACCCATTCCTGGCGTGCGTTGCTTTTTTCCTTTTGCACTGAGTAGTTGTTGCGATAAATGTACGGTTGAAGGGCAGCGGGGATCCGCGAACCTGATAGTTACAGGCCAGGGCAACTTCCCAGGTGAGACAGCAGCCGGTCCTCTCTGCCCCGCCCCCACACCTGGCGCTGTGGCTCGCGAGAGTGGAGGACTCCTAGGCTGCTCAGGGATGCAGACCTGGTCCGTCACAGGGCGACTGTTCTGGGTGAATACACTAGCCATTTCTGTGCTAGAAGAACATGTGGTGGGAAAGAGGCTTCATTTGTTTTAAATTGCGCATTGTGTATTTACCAATACTTCTCAGAGCAGCGCTGCCTGGAAGCCTGTGCTGGCGGTCTCGGTGCTTCAGTGCGCATTTGCTCGCTTATTATCTACACCGCAGCAAGCAGGCCTTGTCTGGGGCCTCACTGGCCTCGCATGTGCCCAGCCCAGCCCAGAGCTGGGACAGTGAGGAGCCCCCATCTCTGCAAACGCAGGCGAAATTCCGAACAGGAGAACAATGCTTGGCAGCTGAGATGCGTGGGATGCAGCAAAGGGGAAAGGTGGCCAGGATTTTCGACCATTCTTCTGGGAACCTTGTAGGAGGAGAAGGGGCCTCTCAGAGGAACCCAGGGGTGCATCTGGGCCGCAGAAAGGAGGGGGACTCTGCACGCAGGAGTGGGCATCGAGTCACTGCGGCTACTCCGGTGGGGGTACCCAATGGCTTGGCTGAACTGAGGAGAACGGGTGTGTGGGGGGAGACAAAAGCTGCACTCAGAGCTGGCTCAGGCGTGGGCCAAGTAGAGGGGCCAGGCTGAGGGGAGACAGCTGAGGGAAGAAGGGAGGGCCCAGAGCCCTTTGGTGCAAGTGAGGAGGGCAAGCCCTTAGGGTGCAAGACCCCGCCCAGCCTTCAGCTCACCTACCTCAATGACAGCAGTTCAAAAAGCGCAGTCTGTGGGTTTATTTGACTCGGCAGGAAAAAGACAAGAGACTGGAGGCAAAGCTGCCTGCTGTTCCCCTGGGAGGGTTGGGTGAGGGCGGAGGGCAGGGAGTAAGGAGGGACTTCTAGACTTCGGGAGAGGCAGAACCAAGTGACACGGTGAGAGAAGGGGTGGTTCAGGGAGGTGACAAGGGGTGACTGGGCGCTGCATAATAAAGCGACGCTGTGTATCATGTGCATGTATACGGACAGTCTGGGAGGAGGAGGAAGCCCGCCGACCTGCAGCCGGCCAGCGCAAAGCTGGCGCAGAAGTGCATCGCGGATGCAGAATTGGGACCTCACGGGAAGGCTGCAGAGGGGGCAAGCTCGGCAGCAGCCGTGGATGGAGGAATCTTCGCATGTTCCCCGGGGTCCCTGGCCCCACTCATGCATGGAGCTGTAGGGCCCTCGTGGGAAAACTCCTACCTTTGTCCCCTCTCCTGGCCCTCCTCCTGGACCTGCCCCCCCACACCTGGACACCGCTGAGCCTGGGAGGAGTCGCTGCCATGTGATGTCCACTTCCCCTGGAAGCCTCCTTGCTGGCACCTGGAGCTTTTCTTGAGGACACATTGCCCTTTGGTGATGATGGTAACTGGCCCTGTGACCTTGATTCATGCAACACTGCCAACTGGACATGGGGCTAAGACACCTCCCTTAAAAGTCTGAATATGTGAAAGCTCTTACTTTCTCAACTGCTGTGCTCCCCTGACTGTGACAGGTGTAGAGCAACAGCTCAATCAAGGTGTTGCATTCAGCGTTTCCACGGGGAAACCATCCCCGAAGAAGGCATTCTGGGAGGTCACCAGTGGGAGTGGAAAGCTGAGATGGGGGGGCTGCGTCCCCTGTGACCTCCTCCTTACCTTGGGCTCAGCGTCTAATCTGACCCATGCTCCACTCCTTCTTGCTCTTCTGGATGTGAACCAATTTTTAAGAAACGAGATGCAAACCTATTAATTGACAGTGAAAACAAAATCACACCACCCGTGGGAAGAAGCAGAGCAAGATTGAAATTGACACTGGCTTGGTGATGACAGATTCAGATCTGGACGTTAGCCACCACTGGCTCGTGCACAGATTTCATAGGCAAAAGTTGGTCTCCGGCGCTGCCCCCTCTCATCCCCTCAAGAGGGGCTGTGTACCCCTGCCCCAGTGCAGCCTGTGAGCCGATTGTTTGCGGGGCTCTGTTCTGCGCACTGAGCCTCAGTGAACAAGGTGGACCACGGCTGAGCCAGTCTCATTGCAACTTCAGCCCAGAGAGGAAAGCAGCTCGCCACGATGCTCTTTCTGGTGGCACTAGGCAGAGTGGAGCACTGAAGTCCAGGAGCAGTGACTTGGGAGGAGACAAAGGGCTTTTCCTTTGGGTAGCTCGGTGACATCAGCACGGCAGCTCTTGGTTCGCTTGTGCCGCCCCTCCTCTTTGCAGGATGGCTGCTGGTTTCCACCTACATTAGGGTACTGTTGACTGGGGTTAGACAACCTTTCTAGAAATGGCTCCGGGTTGGTTTCATGAAGTGGGACCAGTGATACTGTTGAAAGCACTCAATAAATCTTCAGCATTGATATTTGAGTGACTTTCATTTAAACTCACAGTTTGAGTCTGACAGGGTGTTGGGAAAGAGAACTTGGAAAACTGGAGACAGGCAGGGACAGGTAAGGTAGTAAGGTGGACAAAGCCCATTAAATGGTACCAAATGGTGATTTTCATTCCCACCGGAAGACTATGAGTTGTACTGTAAGAATATGAATGTTGAAAGCTTTACAAAATGTATTACACTACAAGACATTATTACAAATCCCCTTCAAAAATCCTCCTCCTGCCCTCACACACACACTCTGGAGTCTTCTTTCATGAGGGTCTTTAGTTGTGTAGCTGCCTCAATGTCCTGAATGGAATCCAAATGTTTCCCTTTCATGGTCTTCTTGACACTGGGGAAGAGCCTCAGGTCACCTGGTGCCAGACCTGGTGACTTAGGTGGATGAGGACATGGCATGATGTTTTTATGAGCCTGTCTGTCAGACAGCATTTGGCAGCAGCATTCGCTGTAGGTGACAGAGGGCAGCGGTGCTGGCCGGGGTCCGGTAGTGTGGCTAAGTGCATGTGTTGTTGAAGGTTGGGCTGGGCTGTCTGAGTTAAACCCCTCCGCTTTCTCTATGTTGAGTGCTGAGCCAAGAGGGACTTCCACCCACACAGTCTCTGCACACCATCCTTGAAAGAGGAGCTCTGGAACCCTGTGGTTCCTGGGCAGAAGCTACTAGTGATGATGACTTAGGCCTCTGCCAGATTTGCTTTAAGTCATGACAGAGAGGGTGTGTGTGTGTGTGTGTGTGTGTGTGTGTGTGTGTGTGTGTGTCCCAGGGGATAATTTCAGCTAAAATCTGCTGCTTTCTGGGAGTACCTGTGAATAGGTTTTGCTAGAGTTTAGGGCAACCTAGCAGGTCCGACCTGCTCTGTCCTTCTGTCTGTCTCTCTGTTTACTTTTGGGGTAGGGTTTTATGTGATGTTAGACTGGCTTCGAACTCATTACGTAGCCCAGGCTGGCCTCGAACTCAGGCGATCCATCTGCCTTGTGCACCACTGCGACTGGTGTCATTCTCTGAAGGCTTTCACTCCTGGGAATGCTATAGCAGAAGGACTCTTAGCAGCTCATCCAAACCTTCATTTTGCAGATGAAGAAACCAGAACTTGAGCTGTAGGCTCACTTGTCCTGATCCCACAAGTGACAGTCCTTCCCACAAGTATAGCTCTCCTCAGAGCCGAGCTGCCACGTCCTAGTCCAGATGCCTCTCTGGTTAAATGCCGCGAGTGCACTTGAAACAGAAAGAAAAGCCGTTCACTAATAGGAAACGGTCTTACGATAGTACTGAGAGGATCAGAGAGCGTGGAAGGGCGCATGGAGCCTGTAGCAGTCTGTTTGTCATTGTGGTCACAGAACACCTGATGCCAAATAATACAGCGGTGCCTCAGTTCAAGAACTTGATTCTTTTCATGATTCTGGTTGAAAACCAAATTGGATGAGAACTGAATCGAATTCATTGATTAGGCTCAGTGTTGACCTCACAGGGAAACTTGATTCGGTTCTTGTCCAGTTTGGTTTGGGACCAGAATCATGGGCAGAATGTCATTTCTGAACTGTGTGTCGCTGTATATAAAGAAGAGTGTTTAATTAGCTCCATTTTGGAGGCGGAGTGTCCCAGATGTGGGGCTCCCTGTTGGCTCCCTGCTGTGTCAGCGCCACCTTAGTCCACACTTCCAGCACATCAGCCCTTGAGGCCACACTGGCACCCCATCCAGGTCCCAGCAGAGCCCCAAATGCTTTGTGTCACCAACTTCACTCTCAGTGTATGGGGATCACTGCAGGGGGACACGTGTCTGCTGGGCGGGGCTTCTGCAGTGGGCCTGGCTGGACCCCACGTCACTCATCTTCGCTTCTGGGACTCCGCGGGGCCGTCCCCCCATGGTGGCCACTCATGCTGGCTTCCACACTGTCCTGCAGCTGGGACCGCAACATCCCGGTGGGGACTAGACCAACCCGAGTCCTCATACCACACTTAGCCATCTTCAGTGACACCCAGCTCAGGGTCCAGGCTGCCCCACCTGCACCCCCACCTTGCATCTGCCCTACAGCTAACCAGGTCATCCCTACCCCGGCTGAGGCTCAGGACGAAATCTCTCAGCCCCATCTTTTCATTTGCAGTGTCCCTGGTGGAGAAGCAGAGGCCGTCTTCTCCAGAGTGAGCACATGGGGCTTCTTTCTTTTATGCACAAGAACATGGTGATATCATCTCAGTGTTCCAAGTGGGCTGCTTGATGTCCCCAGCCCCTTGGGCAGGTGGAGTATCAGGCTAGGTGTCACCCCAGAGGGGCCCCTACTGTCAGCTGAGGGAGCCCTTCCCATGCTAAACAGTGCTGAG